AAATTTTGGGGAAAGAAAACCAAAATTTACTCCCAAATTTATGTTAATTTATGCGACCAAATATTTTATTGCATCAAATTTTTTTCTTTTTTTAGTAGGTGGATATTTCAAATAGTTCGTAAGCTAGTTTAATCCGTTGAGTTATATTCAAATCGACTAATTTYATTAGAATCATTCGCCCACTAATTCTAACAATAAACAATATAAAAATCTAAAAAAATACTTACTAATGTCAATGAAATCAAGTTTTACACAAAATTAAGTTTGTTTAACGTATAAAATTAATAACCATATATAACTTTTTAAAAAATAAACAAACTCAACAAATAAAACCTAGCTCAAATGTCATTTTTACACAAAATCTTATTTTTTAGAGAATACCTTTTTCAACCAAATTTTTATCTAAAATTTATTAGAAGATATATATATATATTAAGAAGAACATGTTGTATGGGCTACAGTTGATGGAAACTCATCCTCTATGACACGTGGGAGCCAAAAAAGATTAGGAAAAGATTAATACAAGTGTATGAGTTAAAGAAGACAAAACTATTTTAAGTTTAAGATAATTTAAATTTAAAGATGAAGTTAAAAATTTAAAGTAAAAATTGATACAACTAATCAAATCCAACATAAAAATATAAAATTTCTTCTGTACCTTCTAATCATTTTCCTAAAAGACAAATTAGAGGTGGAGTTTTGAAATCTTAATAATTTTTTGTTATGGGATAAATTAAAATGAGTCGAGAAGGGGGCATCGTTTTCATTGGTCGCTCTCGGCCACGGGTGTTGAACGTTGAAAGGATTAGAGATTTTGAATTTGGGGAAGAGACAAAATCAACGGAAAAATAGAAAATGCATACGACTTTTCTCTTTATAATTTTGAATTTAGTTTATGGAATCAGAAAAATAAAATAACAGGAACCAGTAGAAATTTAGCCAGCAACGTTTGACAATTGACCCAATATTTGGCAAGCTTCAATTTTGACCACGACTTAAAATGGTCATGTTTCTACTATATTATTTTATTTTACATTATTTTAATTTATACTTATTGTTAAAATTAGTATTATGGTACTTAATTGAGATTGGTAAAATAATGCAAACTATATTTCAACTAGGTAAGTCAATATAAATATAACTCAATTAATTAAAATATTTATCTCCAATAAAAAAAACCTTAAGTTATGTTGTAAAACAAAATATATATTTCATATAATATAATGAATAGAAAATTGGCTATCATATATGTAAATTGACCATAGAAAATAATTTAAAAACATATTATGACAATCTTTTTTCTCGTATAATATTGTATATAATTTTTATATCATTCATAGATAATATTATTGATATACTTAATATAAATATTGTTATTAATTTAGGTATTGTATGACTAATATACATTAATGGAAAGAGCCAGAAAAATAAATTAAAATAATAAAAATGAAAAACTTCCGAGTTCAACTCCCATATGGCAATTCGAGGCCGAAATAACCGACCAGAGCCCTAATCCATTGGGCTTCACGCATCGATGCGAATCAGGCATATAAAGCCCAAAACAACTTTTATATATATATATATATATAAATATTAAATAAGTATAGCAGTCAGTTGTTTATAATATGGTCAATAATAAATTTTCTTAACACCTAAAATATCAGAGCATAGAATAAAAAATACCACATTATGAGAAGAACCAATGATGCTGAAATAAAAAATATCCCATTACATCATAGTTGATAACTATTGATAAATTAAAGTAATGAATTGAAAAGTATGTATTGTGTACAAAACCATAATCAAATTGAAGCTCCTCCTCGCCAACAAATATGTAATGTTTATTATATATGAAATCTTGTAAAGGACTTAAAAATAAATAAATAAATAAGAAAATTGTGGTCTTGAAAATTAATTAGTTAATTAAGATGGGTTTGAAACTATTTTCAAGTATTAGACTAGTTGCCTTTAATGATATGTTTTCTTTTTCTAGAATAATCTAAATAATTACCTAATCATATTTGTTTAAGAATTATGACTAATAGGTCAAAGCGAGCCTAAGTCAACGATAATTAACATATATAACTAATGTTACTCTGAAAAGCCAAACGAATTGAATACTTTATAAATAAAATAAGACAATATTCTGAAATTTTGCAATAATAGTTGTTGGTTTGTACGACGACGCCCTGTTCCGAAAGATATGTGGATCTCGGACAAATGAACCTGCAAAAATAGTAATTTTACCATAAATAATTGCAAATTTATCGCATGATAATATATTCTTCAAAAAAAATCTTAATATACTTCACATTAAATATATTAGTGACGTACTTTGTCGGCTCTACAAAAATAATATATTAGTTATATACTCTATGTAAGTAAACGACGAGATACTCTACCATTTAAATAGAAGTAGAAACTAAAAAATCGACGGGATGAAATGAAGATACAAAGATAGAAATTCGAACTTTTGACCTCTTGATCAATAACGTAAGTTTTAACTAGGTTAATCATGTTTAAATCGACTATATTTAAATCGACTATATTTAATTTATTAGGGATATACTTTTATCAATTATGTAAAAAAAAAAAGAAAAGTATATTAGTGATATAAAAACAAGATGTAAATTTTTTTTATACGACAAATTTAATGGTAACCAGTTCAACCACCTATTTATGATTTTTCTACGCAGAAAAAATAAAATGTCAAATACAATCCGACAAAGACACAGGCACAGGACGAACAAATTGGTAGCGGCTAAGAACCGGCGGCGGCGATCCAATCCATGAATTCCCACTTCCAACTCGAACATTTAGTCCACATCTAATCTTGACCAACCTAATTCCATGAATCGCTGCATCTACTAAGAATTCACACCGCCGGCGACGGCTGCAGCAATGGCACTACGGCGGCGACCTCTGTTACTCTTACTTCACCTCTGTCTCTTCTTCTTCTTCTTCTTTCCGGGTTCTGCCGTTGATTTCCTCTTCAATTCCTTCCCCAACCCTTCCAATGGCACAGAAATCATCCTCATCAGCGACGCAAGATTCG